ATTTTAATTTTAATCCTCGTTAAATTAAAGGATTATTTATTCACATGTCAGTTTTCTGGTGAGCTCTTGCAGTAATATTTTTGTAAGAAGTGACCCTAGGGGTAGAATTACAGATTTTGCATCAATTTTCAAATTTACGTTGCAAAGCACAGCTCTAAAGCAAAGCTTGCATTTCTAGCTCATGTTAATATGCTGAAAATAATGCATGTTTCTGCCCACACACAAGCGCTATATAGGTTCAGTCACATTAAACATCAGAAAAGGGTGACATTCATAGCGATTTTCCTATATCCTCACTGTTTTTTTGGGGGTGTGGGGAGCTTTATTACTCCCTCTTTCTGTTTATCTACATATAGATCTTTTTCTCTTCAATTACATTCACTTCATCCATGATCTTGAGTGATGGTAGAAGATTATTAGCTTTTTGGAGCCACTTGAAGGGAAATTGTTTTCCTGAAGTATTTTTACAATCCCCAGAGATAGAATTTCTCTTTATAATAAGGCTGTGACATAGGATCATCAGTCTCTGCTAATTCCAGTAACTTAGACAGCAAGTATTTTTTTTAACATCTACTGTATGCCTGGTTTTATTCTAGGTTAATACCTCTGTTCTGTATGTGACATGGTTCTTCCTACACTCAAGAATTTCAAATGGAAACATTAGATGTATAAAAATTAATTATAAAATGGCTTCTTTATAGAGGTTTTTGCAAGGTTACAGACTACTAATCTTATTTTTTCTCGATGCTCTTGGCTCTCTCATGTGATGCCAAATGCACTTGTTTCATCGTCTCATTGATTCTCACAAAAGTAGTTGGATTGTGTAGCCATCAGTTGGAGTGCTATGATATATGACTTTGCCACCCAATTCCACAGAGTTAGGTCAATGCTGGGAAAAAAAGATCATGATTTTGAATGTCTAAGCTGCCATCTTATCCAGATTATCACCTGTCACATTAAATGTTTTTCTTTTTTTTAATTTTTTAAAAGTTTATGTTTGTGAAAGAGCAAGTGAGAGAGGAAGGGGGGGGGAGAGATCGTGAGTGGGAGAGGGACAGAGAAAGAGACACACACAGAATCTGAAACACGCTGCAGGCTCTGAGCTGTCAGCACAGAGCCCAACAAGGGCTTGAACTACAAGCAGTGAGATCATGACCTGAGCCGAAGTCATTCACTCAACCAACTGAGCCACCCAGGCACCTTTAAATGTGGTTTTTTTTTGTTTTTGTTTTTGTTTTTTAATATTTTTATCTATTTCTAGGATAGAGAGAGACAGCGTGAACAGGGGAGGGTCAGAGAGAGAGGGAGTCACAGACTGAAACAGGCTCCAGGCTCTGAGCTGGCAGTCAGCACAGAGCCCGACGCGGGGCTCGAACCCACAAACCGCGAGATCATGACCTAAGCGAAAGTCAGACTCTCAACCGACTAAGCCACCCAGGCGCCCCACCTTTAAATGTTTTCTTGATGGTGGGCATTGTTAGCTAAAAAAATAACCTGTGTTCTATCATTACAAATCTTACCATACCCAATCGATAGCATTCATAACATGATTTCTGTGTGACAAAGAAACTACTGGCCTGTAACTACTGGTTACATCTGGAAGACTTCGGTTAGGACTAGAAAAAACTAATGTCACATCCAGAATTTTTTTTTTTAATATTTACTATTATGTCATCAATTCTGTAGGCTCTGAGATTTTCACCCTTGGCAAGCTAACATGTGAACCTGTCAAAGCTTCGTAGATTCTGACAGAAGGCCCACAACTCCTGGATCAGACAGAGAAGATTCTATTAGTCCTGTCACAGCAGGCAGCATGAGTTTCCTGTTCGTATTCTTCTCCTTGTCCCGTCCACTCTCAAACCATTCGGGAGCAGTGCAAAGGCAGGTCTATGCGGAGGCTACACACAATGTGAATTTGTATCCACACTGAAGAACCCTAAACTTGACTCCGCTAAAAAAAAATCTGCCCAAACTCTGCCCCTAAGAGAGATACTATCTTTACTATTTTGGCCAAGAAAAAAACATGTTCTCTGCTCTAGAAGGTGGCATTATCTCTGCCTTCCAAGGCTGTTAGCTATATAAACATCTTTGAAAAAAATCCAGAATAAAAGCTGACACGAGAAGTCCAGAAATGCCATGGAGAAATGCCTCTCATTCAACAAATGATAGGGCCTGCAAGAGGACTTGCAGATACACTTTAAAATGTCAAGGATATGTGTGTATATTTCATTATATCTGTTCTTCTAGTTATAAGCAATGCCTAACTGCTATTACAAAAGATAATGATATACAGTAATGATATTGATGTAGAGCAATAATAGCAGTAAATATAAAAAGATGAAATTATCTCAGGAGGTTGGCTCTATTGGTTTTCAAATAGTTGTTCTCAACCTCTCATGAAAAATGGAAATAAAACTTTGGTCATTGTCATCATGTATTTTTGAAAAGTGTCTCCTTTTTATTTACAAATATCCTTTAAAAATAGCCAGGTACCAACCACACATATTTGAAACCATGTTTAAAATAAGTTTGGAAATTTTGCCTATTTTCATTCATTCCACAATGATTTACATATCACTTGAAAAACATTTGAACTCTAACCAGGCTTAAAGACCTTATCTCTAAATTGATTATGTTAAAGAATATTTAGTTTAAAAATAGTAATTTGGGGGAGGGTAGTTTGTCTTTCCCTAGACATCTTGCTCTTCTTTAATATAGATGTAATTGTATAGAAGCAGCTATAATTTAACCTGTCTATAGGGATATCCTTGGTCATTTCTTAAAACTCTCAGTTGTGTTTGTTTGATCGAATAACCATGTGAAAGCCCAAATTATTAAATTGGTGTGATTTTATTATAAAAATGAAGGTTTCTGGGGTTTTCTAGTCTTCAAGCTATGAAAAAAAAAATTGATGTGATATATCAGAGAAGCCAACTATAGAGAAATTACAGAAAATCTTAAAGCTGAACTTAAGTTTGGGATGAAGCTGATTGCATCCCAAATGAGATTTCTTGTTTGACTGGATTTTTTTTAACTGAGAGATTGTTGACCAGGCTTAATCATTATAGAATAGATTTTAATCAAACTACTCTTCATTAAATGCCCAGTTCTAAGCTAGGCTTAGATGTAGTCAAAGAAAAACAATATGCTACCCTCAAAGATCTCAGGGTCATTTGAGCAAACTTGAGACTCAAAATAAGGAAAATTTGCATGTTATCATTGATTGATTCTAGAGACTTTGAGAGGAGAGTTCTACTGCAGAAAAGGCCAGACATCCCAATGCACTTCCACTTTGCCTTGGTTACTTACTACCCTCACAACCAGGTGCTGCTCTAACAAGGCTTCCTGGGGTTCAATGGGAGAACAAGTGATTTGCACTCTTTGATTTTATATTGTTGTCATTTCCTATTTGGAACTTGTTCTGTATAGATGACAACTTACTTTTTTTTTTTTTCTTTCAAGTGACTTTATAGAAATGACCTCATTAGAGAAATTCCTGCTTCGGCATTTTGTTATTGAAAAGGATCAGAATTAAAAAGGGAGATAAAATTACTCTCAGTCCCTGCATACAGTGTCTGCTTGTCTGAGTGGGGATAGAAGAAACACTGGTTTAACTTTGTTGGAATTGAATATTTCATTCACTGTACTGATTAGATTTCACACTTAAGGCCTTGACCAGAAATTTAATGGGCAGTTTTTCTTTTCCAGCCACAGGAAACTTCATGCCTTGTGCCTCACTGCATAACTCTCTGAAGCAGATTCTCCACAGTTAAGGTTCAAGAGTCATATTCCCTCTTCCATTCCTTAGAGTAGGGAAAATGCAAGGATTAAGGGAGTACTAACACCAAATGTTCTGGAAATGCCATATATGTTTTCCCAACATCCCATAGTATTGGCATGTATTAGGTTTCGTGACCATTCATCAGTTCAAATGAGTTGTCCAAAGTAAAGTTTAAAGCCATCAGATGGAAAGATTGGCTTTTATTTCCTAGCAATAATCCAGCTTTTGATAATTAAAATCCTTTTTAGGTCCATGAAACATAAACTGTTTAACCATTTGCTACATATTCCTGTCGCTTTGTAGACTCTATTGAATCCATTCAAAGAGAACAATAACAATAACAATAATAATAATAATAATAATAACACTTTTTGTTAATTTTTTTTAATGTTTGTGTTTGGAAGAGAAATGTGATGGGGGGAAGGCGAGGAGGAGAGACAGAGAGAGAGGGAGACTCAGAATCCAAAGCAGGCTCCGGGCTCTGAGCTGTCAGTATAGAACCCGACACCGGGCTCTAACCCACAGTGATATGCTGACCTGAGCCAAAATCTGACACCCAACCGACTGAATCACCCAGGCTCCCCTAACACTTAGAACTTGTGAATAAATCCCAATTAACTGAATTCCTAACATTTGATTAGAGAACATGGAGTATATAGAGAAAATACTGCTTTGAATCTGCATGTATAGTGAGATAATTTTGATTAACTTAATACTTCCGTGAACATCTAACCAGACCTGAGTTTTTCCAATCACTTCCATGCCACCGAATAAGTTTGATGATCACTGCTGTGCTATTGCCTTGTCTTTTCACTTTGATTAATTTGGGGGCACTTGTCTGTAAAATTAACATAGTAAAACTTTTTGCCGCACCTACCCTATCAAGGGTCGTGATGATAATTGAGATTATGAATGAATCCCCTTTAAAAAGTAAAACTACAAACTAAACATGAGTATGAGGTGGTATTATGTTATTATTGTTGTTATTTATTGGTGACAGTTGCTTAAAATAATTCCTTAAAATTCTTAGTAATTATTTTGTGGAAAATTCATTTTTTCTCATTTCTAGAGATGATTGTCATTGCAATGTTAAGATGTCTATATTTTCAATAAAATAAAATGACTCAATATTGTTAAAATGAAGTTTATATTGTAATGAACTGAACAGAGCTAGTATTGTTCATTAGCCTTTGATCTTTTTTTTTTTTTTTAACTCTAGTTAATCCTGGAGAAGTACTGCCTCACATATGCAAAGCTGGAGAGTTCCGCTGTAAAAACAGACACTGTATCCAAGCTCGCTGGAAATGTGATGGTGATGATGACTGTCTAGACGGAAGTGATGAAGATTCAGTAAATTGCTGTATGTTCTCCTTCAAGTAATATTTATTACATTTTCCTGAGTCTTTGAGCACGTGAACTATCAAAGCAGTTTGTGAAAAATCTAAAAATATCTTTGATAAAAAATTGAACTCAGGTTTTTGTTTTGTTTTGTTTTTTCCCCTAGTCATCCTTTTGTACAGCGTAGACTTTAGATCTGTCTTCTTACATGGTTTTACAGCACTGTTTTTCTCAACCTTTTCCATCTTTAATGTTGTAATTTTAACCAAAAAGGACTCCAGAAGTCCTTTCTTTCCCTGTTTTGTACTGCCAGTGCCACCACACCATTGTTAGAAGGTTGCTTTAGGAGATCCTTTTGGATCTCTGAATTCAAAGATGTGGAAAATCAATTTAAACTCCCTCAAGTCAGAATTACTCATGCAGAAGGTCACGATCCACTCCATTGCCCTTTGGCATCGGAGCCTTGAAGAAGATCCAAGGACACAGACATGGTTTTGGAACGTGTCATTACCTAACTTCACTGGCTCAGTACATAGTAGGAGACACATATGGGGCACTCAGATAGAAATTCAAGATCTGATTTTCTCCCCTTTGGCTCCTATTTAGCTGCTTATCATTTCCCACAGTAGGAATAATTTCATGTTTCCAGTTAGGATAAGGAATTGTCCCACCTATGTGGAAAGAAAACACTTCAAGAAACACGTTAAATAATGTTTTGACAGTATATTTGATTAGAGTCCTACTGGAGTGGCTCTGAGATTTATAAAATCTTTTTACAGGGAGAAAGGTATGTGATGGGTATATGTATCTTTAGTCTTTTAATTCGACCTAGATAAATTATTTTAAAAAGAAAATTATTTTCCTTTTTAATCCTTTTAATATCACCTGATGATATTTTCCAGGGTAAAATGGCTGAACTAATTGAACTAATAGTCCATTTGCTTTTCTTTCTTTTTCCTCTGTTTTTCTAATCAAGACTGTAAAAATAAATTTTTAAAGATCCTTTGTTAAGAATTGACAGAATTGCTCCCTCTCTCTCTGACCCTCCCCTGCTCATGCTGTCTCTCTCTCTCTCTCTCTCTCTCTCTCTCTCCTAGAAATAAATAAAACATTTTAAAAAAGGGTGTGTGTGTGTGTGCCTGGGTGGCTTAGTGGGTTAAGCGTCTGACTTTCGCTTAGGCTATGATCTCGAGGTTCGTGGGTTCGAGCCCCGTGTCCGGCTCTGTGCTGACTGCCAGCTCAGAGCCTGGAGCCTGTTTCAGTCTGTGACTCCCTCTCTCTCTGACCCTCCCCTGCTCTTGCTGTCTGTCTCTCTCTCTCTCTCTCTCCTAGAAATAAATAAAACATTAAAAAAAAAAAAGAATTGACAGAATTGGTCTGGACATCTATATAATGAAACTATCTGCATTTGGGGACAAACTCCAAGAATATGAGCTTTTAAAAAATATTTCCAGTTATGTGCAAATACATAATACAGAAATTGTAATTAATACATGAATGCTACTTTTCCTTAATTTTCGAACATGGACTCTGATTTCAACATTATGTGCTTTATATTTTCAACCTTATGAATATCTATATTATAATGTGTGAATCCATAAATAACATATTACATACTAAATTGATACAAGTATATAAAAACTTCAAAGTGGGAGGAGCATTTCATCTAAGGAGAAAGTGTTTTTTCTCTACTTTTAGACACAAATGATGTAGTATTTATTGATTAAATTGATTGCCTCATTCCTTCTGACTCACAGTGTTTATTCATGGCTTTAGTGAATGTTCCCTGTGTATCAGCTTCCAGTGTAGTCAGAAAGCACCTGTACAGAGCACAAGTATTTCATCACGATATTCACGAGGTAGTCCTTTAGTTTCATGCTTCCCTCTGCATGACCGTTCTTTTCACCAAATCACAAAGAAACTCATTTCCTTTATGAGCATATGGGGCATTGCATTTGTACTCTTAATTGTAGTGTTAAAATTCCTGGTCAGGATTTTTTCCTTGATTATTTTCATAACCTTACAAACCACTACCCAAGCCTACAATATGGGCTTTTTCTGCAGTGATTTATTTCACATATAGTCCATATTTAAGTAATTGTTTTTTCATCTTTAACACCTGTCAATCCTCACTGGATAATAGGCTCCTATCCTCGATTAACTCAGCAAGTGCCCTGATATTATTCCTACCACCCTTGCTCCCTTAATTAAAGCCTGCTTTCCATACTGCTTCCTGAGTTACCAGTATCTGTAGAATGAAAGCTAATCTCATTATTTCAGTAAATCCATAACCAACAAAAAGTCCACTGAGTCACATATAAAGTGCTTCATGTTATGACTCATGTTTACATTTTCAGCCTTACATGCCTATCATGAATACACTTACCTTCTTTGTTATTATCAAGGTGGACTACAAGGAGATCTCTTAAAAAATGTCCTTCTGTTTCTCTCCTCTCTTCTGCAATCCATGGTAAATCACCATAGTTTACCATTACCTTTATAGGGAAGTCTTTTGTGAACATCAAAAAATCTTCTTTATGTAGCCCAGGTGGAGTTAAACATTTCATGTGTATTTCTTTATCATGATAGGTACCAAAATGTATTGCAATTATATGCTTATTTATCTTGGTGCATCTAAGAGGTGAATATCTTTATGAGGAGATGCATTATGTGGTAGCATCTCTGTAATCTCAGAGTCTAACACAGCACCTCGCACATGGAGAATGGTCTCTAAACAAATGGGGCAATGGAGAACTACACATCTCTGGCCATCTTCCAGTGAGATGGTATCTTTTCTAAACGTGCAGCAATTCAGACCAGCAGTATGATCCTGAGATTCCATGGTTAATATTCCAGCACTGTGTAATTCATTTCAGAGGATTTATATTTTAAATACTCCTAAAGTTTGACTTTGAATTCTGTTGTCAATCCACTTTCTATCATTTAGTTTCTCAATTCCAAATCACAGGGCTATGAGTTGTATGTATGCCTCCTTTTTGAACTCTGATTTATATCATTGATGAAACCTACAAAAGTCCTTGATCAAGCTTCACTGGAGAATTTTTGCATAATCTTGGTACTTTAAAATGTTGACCCTCTAACATACTGAATGACTTTCATTCTCATGAGCCCCTATTCTTGCTCAACTCCCTGAAGTGAGTAGAATATGTTAATATGCCAGGAAACATAAGGCTTTTCCCCCTATTTTTTTCACTATGCATGAATAAAAACTTTCTAAAAAAGTGATAAAACACTTTCTCACCTAAGCTACTTTAAAGAAACAGTGTTTTGTAGAAACTGGCTGGAAAGGCGTACATTTGCTATGCAACAGCATGATAAAATCGCTGTTTTTCAAATCCTAAGTAAAACTAATACCAAAATTTATTTTTATCATACAGAAGTGCAACTATTGGGCACAAGGAAAATTACTTCAAAAAGAATGTGAAGTGGTGAAACAAATACTGAGGAGCATGCAATTCGGTTAGGAGTTCAGCCTCCAGGATGCAGGAAAAAGAATCACAGAAGGTTAACTTTAAGATGGCCTCCTGCTGTGCTTAGATATTGGAAGTTTAATCCTTAGCTGTGCACAGCTTCCCATATGAGGATTGGCCTTGTCTTCAGTATATTTTGCAGATGCATGTTTATATTTTGTACTACGGATAAAAACTCATGATGGTCATTTTTGTTATTAAAATTATGCAGGATCTCATATTTAGTGTCAACTTCAAGTCACAAGTGATGCATTTTTTTTCCTTCCAGTCCTAAGAAACATTGAACAAAACATAACAAACTTAGGCTTAGTTAATATTTCAAAAAGTACTGAATGGGTGTGTGGCTTAAGAAAATGTATGTTTAATATATAATTGAATTATTTGATACATATTTGTTATGTTTCCTGTTAAAATTTGAGGTATTTTAAATGTTCTTGGTAAAAATTCTGAAATTGAGCCACTTGTGATAAGGGATGGGAAACAAAGTTAGTGATATAGTTGATTTTAGTGAAGACATGAAAAAATTAATATATTTCCTTTTATGTAAATTAATATATTTCCTTTTATGTGAGATTTAATTTGGTGTCTTCTATAAAAGTATTCTATTTTAACAGAGCCAAGAATATTAATACTTTGTATAAACTATGAAACAATGAAATAAAGAACCTATGGCATTTATTATACTATAATTACTGTGACTTTTCTGTAACTATAACATAAAGTATCATAATTTTATCCAACTTGAAATCATTAAACTTGCTTATTCTCTTCCTCCATCCTTCCCACCCTTTCCAGTCAATCATAGCTGTCCTGATGATCAGTTTAAATGTAAAAATAATCGCTGTATCCCCAAGAGATGGCTCTGTGATGGAGCTAATGACTGTGGAAGCAACGAAGATGAATCCAATCAAACCTGTGCAGGTAAAAGTTTACTTGAATATATACACAGATGCCTTCCAATGTTAGTCTCCATAAAAATGCAGGGCAATGCTTTGAACCAAGCTGAACCTTCCTAGGGCTGATAATCTGATCATTGTGGTAGTAAATGAATTCAGAGTTGGATACTAGAATACAAATTAACTTTTCCTTAATTCTTGGGCATGACTCTGCTTTCCAAAGTAATTTGGCACTTTATCCATATGGGTTGACTCTCAATACACTACTTAGACAAGATTGTCTCTACTAAATCTTAATTGGCATTGGAGGTTGAGGTTTGTTAGCATGCTGTGATGTAGGCCATCTCACAAGGAGAACTTGTGTGTGTGTGTGTGTGCATGCGTGTGTGTGCGTGTTTTGTTTTGGTTTGCTTTACATTGAAAAAATAATCTATGTATTTTGCTTATTCTGCTGTAGAATACCTTTATAAATAGTTTTCTGTTCCTGGCACATTGTTTATGTGGGGGTAGGTTGTTTTATTTATTTATAAAGTCCCAAGATCATGAAGCTTACTTACATTTTCATAAATTTATCCCATTGTAATAAATCTGTGAATCCCTAATCAGATTCTCTTTGAATGAGAATGTATAGCTAGTGGTACAGGTTACAACATACTGCCAGAAAGGTCATGATTAGTCAGATAAGTGTTGAAAAGTAATATTGACTAGCAGCAGCCTAGAGCCACTTTCTAAATAATAAAAAGTACTGTATTTTGTGACTCATACTGATCTGACTGGTAAAATATTTTTTCAAATATTACATACTGTAATGTCAAAATGTATCAACCCTTCCCCTTCTCTCTTTGCCAAAATAAGTCTCACTAAATAAAAAATATGATAACCTATTAGTGAAAACTGTAGAGTCGTCATGTAGAGAAAAGACCCAGAGCTCTAAACGCCTGGTTTGTACTCTCGGTTGGGTACTGGTTTTCTCTTGGAAAGGCTTGTAGTTCGGTGCACTGCAATTTCCCTGTATACTTCTTGTCTCCAAGAGTATGAACTAACTAAAAAACATTTCCTTAACAGATTTTCATTATTTACTAAACAACAATGAAAAGGCAAGACCGTTATCATTCCATAATCGTAACCTGCATCTTATATTCAGTTCCTTCCCCATAGTTACGTACTGCTGTGGACCCTTGGGCTATTCTCTTGTCCCTATTGTCTCTGGTCCAGTATTTTAAGGTAACTGATTATTTTCAAGATAGGCTGTGGTCATGTAAGGCTGTGTTACAAAGGACTACCTAATCAAAAGGAACTTCTAGACACTGTCTAGTCCTTTTCTCTCCCTTTGAGCCCATTCATTTCATAGCCAAGGCATGGGAGAAAGGACTTGTCATAACTCACATCAATGATAAGACTTTAGGGGAAACTCAATGTATGATTTATTGTCCAAGCCCAATATCTTGTTACCAAACTATATTATCCTGAGTATCAGTTCAAATTTTAGGTATGGTTAACTTAATTTTGCCCAGGTTGTTCTTACAATTATAACTATAATTTACAATGAAGAGTCTTTTTAGGCTGGTGCAATTTTATTATTTTTTTAAGGTTAAGGTTTAATTCTGAGACCATGTTTTATTACATCCTAAAGAGATAGGTCTATTTTCACCTTAGAAAAAGAGGTGTTGATGATTCAGTTCATAATACCATGTCTTTTTCATTTCTATTAGACTTTTAAAATCTAGTTTCCACATGATTTTCAAAGGCACATTTGGGATTAACTAGCTACTTTTAATAGTAAAAGTAGAAATGCTATGTACAGGAACAAATCAATGTTAATTAATCTTAATTATTAAGGTTTCTAAGGTACCCCATACTTATAGTCCACTAGGAAATAGGGCACAGTCTACTTGTACCTAATGTGCAATTTTTAGTGATGCCAGCTGAAGTCTGCCAGTCAGTACTAGGTCTCCTTATCAGTATATTTATAATAGATATTATGATCACTGTATGCCTTAAGAAATTGAATAAAAAGAATGAAAAGAAAAACAAATGTACCTTTTAGCTTTGAAAATTATGTATGTTGTCATGTTATAATATTTTTTGTTTTGTTTGACCAAAATAAATACATAGGTCACATAGTTCATCAACTGAAAAAAATATGTCAAATTCATAGATAATTTCCCCGTGTGGTCCATTAGTATATATAGGTACATACATGGACAAGTATCATAAATAAAGGATTTTCCAAAGGGGTATTATTTTATAATTGATTCCACTATCCTGTTCCTTTTATGATTGTGAGCCCTGTATATGTAAAAGAAAACCCTGTCCCACAAGAATCTAATTTCCTATTTTGTTACTTTGGTATCTTTCCTCCATGAATCTACTAATTCAGTAAATATCTGCCATGACATTTGATATAAAATAAGGAAAAAATACACTATATCTATCCTTAAAGCTGAATTAAGATGGTAAGAAAAGCATGTAATCAGGTCATTCTAATGCAACATTCAAAATGAACTACTAATAGAAGCACAAGAAAGCTAATTTAGTCTTTGTCTATTTAGCATCACTTCCTGAGGGAGGTGATATCCAAGCTAAGCTTTAGAAAGAAGGAAAGAAAGAAAGAAAGAGAGAGAGAGAGAGAGAGAGAGAGAAAGGAAGAAGAAGAGAAAGAGAAACAGAAAAAGAAAGAGGAAGAGCAAGAGAAAGAAAAAGAGAAAGAAATGTGAATAATAGTTCAAGTCATTTAATTAGGGAAAATAATCTGATAAAATTAATAATTGGCAAGCTTGTGAAATAAAAGGGACCCTTATATACTCTAGGTGGGTATATAAATTGGTTTTCCGTGTTGAAAAGCATTTGGTCAAATCCAATCAGTGCAGACATGTACCTACCTTCAGGTCTATAATTCCATTTCTAGATTTATACTCTTAATACCTATGCACAAAGAGATGTAATTAAGAATTTCATTGTCCTAATGCCAGTAATATTGAGAAATTAGAAAGGACTCAAATGCCCATTATCAGAAAAAATATATATCCACTATAATTAAAACCATATATATATAACTATATGAAACTGTATATGTAACACCAAATATATGTATGTTCACATACATAACACCATATAGTGTTATATTCACATAATAGAATGCTCTTCACACTTAAAAAGAATGAACAAATATCAACAGAAATTAATTTCAAAAGCAACATTAACCAAAAGTTACAGATTATAAATGATTTATTACCACTTGTATGAAATATAAAAATATAAAACAAGTCTATGTGTTCTTATTGATTTATAAATGTGTAAGAATGGGTTATAATGTGGAAATAAAAATAATAAATTAAGGATAGTTATGTCTAAAAAGAAGGAGAGAGATATATATGGAAAAAAGTACATAGGAGATTTTAAATATAATACATTTTTCTGAAAAAAAACCCTAAAATAATCTATAGTAAACATAGGAAAAAAGGATTTGATAGAGCTATATGATAGTAGACAAGTGTGAATAGTATTATTTCTTATACTTTTCTAGGTGATAGAAATAATGGTGGGGAAAAAAGGAATGATTGGTTGGCATAGTTCCTGAGGGTGAGGTCAAGTCCATAGAAGATAGTAGGGGCTTGGAGGGTATGTGTGGAAGAGGAAACAGCATATATACAGCAGACAGAAAAGAGCTGACAGTCAGGAGCTATATATATATATATATATATATGTTTCTCTACTTATGAGAGATCCAGAGGCCAAAGATGAGAAGTAGTTTCAAGTCTTTTTCCTCATAGCTGGCAATGATGATACATGGATGCAAGCCTAGTCAATTTCAGATGAAAATTATCCACAGAATGGAACTTAATTAGATTCCATAATACTTATTTTTCTCATATCCTCCACAAATTTTGAGTAAACTCAAACTAGATAGATATAGTTGAATTAAGAAAACCTGATATATTAAAAGTGAAACTTCTTTACAAAATTGAAAAGCATGTTTTGATACGACATGTTTTTAAGTATAATGCTTTGGTTAAAATACAGCAAAGGTAAAGTTTAGGAATAACGTATGAAGCTCTCTTATCTTCTTCCTCCTTAGTGTTCGAGTGTATTGTGGAATTTCTCACTGCTACAGGATGGCAGGAAACATATAATTAGTGAAGGGTAGGAAAAATTCACGTTGTGACAGTAGATTTCTCACTCACTGCTAGATAAACAATTCCATGGAGAAAGTGTAAATTTCCTCTTCATTAGAGCAGTATTAGCTACAGAATTAGAGTGCTCTAGGGTCTCTCTGCTCATCTCACCTCCAAACTAATTTAGATCGGATGGTGACAAGAACTGAAGAAGTAAAAGTTGTGTTTTTTTGACATAAATCTAGTGAATAGAAAGCAATGATTTAGTCATTTTGATTATATCATATGGACAGACAATACTTATAGATTTATAGAATGAAGCATTTTTTTTCTTATCTGAAATTACTTAAATTTCCTTTAAATTTCCTAAGCAGAGGATTTGTCCATGATTAGAATGGACAATGAATTCATATATTCTCAGGACATATGATTCCTCAATAAGAGGAGTATATAAACCAGTAAATACTCTTTGGAGTAATAGGCCATAACAGTTTCTTAAGCTTCTGAGTTAGTGAGGTGACACACACATTCCCACACCACACAATGTGTAACAGGTCCTTAGGGGTTGATCTCATTCTCTTTTATAATCATTTTGCCAATCCTCATGAAAGAAAGCGATCTAAGAAAACTTTGCTAGAATTAAGCCTGAATGACAAGGAGGGACTACTGTGACATTAAAAAATATATATCAGATAAAAGAATGTTGGAATATTATATTGGGATATTTAATATATTCTTATTATAGGTCAATTAGAATTTAATAGAAATGAAATGAAAACATGTGATGATATATCCTTCTTTAAAGCAAAAACACAATAGAGACTGAAGGAATGAAATAAGTAGGGAATGAGGGAAGAGAGTAGAGATGTAAGGAAGAATGAAAAGTAGAGAAAAGAGAAGAGGAAGAGAGAGATAAAAAGGAAAGAAAGAACGGAGAATGGAAGGAGGGAAAGAATGAGGGGGCATGGGAAGAAGGAATGGAGAAAAAATTGAAAAAAAAAAAAAAACTTTCTTATTACATTTCTCCTAAATCTCAAAAGGTAAAAAGTATTTACTGCAATCAGTGAAACAGTACAAAGATATGTAAGAAAAAACATGAATTTTCCTCATGACTCTATGCTCTCTCCTTCCCACCAAGTAAACTAAATGCTAACATCTTCACCCTTCTCTAGGCTAATGCTGTGTATGTGTATGTGTACACACACACACACACACACACTATATATATATATATATATATATATATATATTCCAAGTAGATATAGTTCTATTGAAGTTACCTAGAAACTTTCTTGATTTGGTCTAAATGTTAGAATAATTTCACGGAAAATCCATACAGTTAGCCAAGTGAGACAACAGATATTTAATCCTGCTTAAAATTTCAACATTGAAAACTTCAGAAGTATACATGTTTGTTGAAATACTTAAAATCTAATAATGTAAAATACTCTACTTGTAAAATGGGAAAACCAAATATTATATAAAATGTTTTAGGTTCAGAACCTTTATCCATATAAACAAAGCAGAATACATAGTGTAATAATTTTCTGGAATTTCTAACTTATAGACCCTGAGGATAGAAACGGTGCATTAAATCTAATATGCCCAATCCAACCAGTAATTTTTCATTTGTTTTTCTCAAGTGATCATTTCAGTGTTCACCTATATAATAGATACACATTTTTACATAGCAAGTACACTTTGCTTAGAAGGAAATAAGTAGCATATAACTTTTAAGAAATTACTTTAAATGACCTATGAAACTCTGATTTATGGAGACCCATTATAGTGTGTTTGGATGACTTGTCTTTGAAACACTCTCAGTTTTATACCAACTGTTAGTTCACTGGGCATTTTGATGAAACAGAAACACATCCTTATGATTCTCAAGCCGAAAAGAGACGGAAGTCTATACACTAGGTAATGTTCTCTTATCATAGCTATGGAAATTCTGACTCTAAGTGCTCTTCATTTGTCCAATCCTCATCTAACCCATATATTAATAGGTGTAAGAATCCCCCACTTATAATGTCCCACTCTTTTCTCAGATCCAATAAAAAGAAAGGGTGGTAGGAAACTGATACTCAAGGAAACAAATCTGTACCTCAGACAGACAAAAGAAAAGAGAATCAAACACTTAAAAAATACCTAATTATAAAAGTATGTAAGTAATGCCTGGGAGAAGAATTAGGGTGGCTATCTAGGATTTCACGCTTTCAGAAGTTGACCTGACTGTAATAGAAAATGGTAATCAAATTCCTTGTAGAACAATAACCCCTTCACTGAATAATAAAAGCCACTGCCTTTGGCTAACATAGAAAGTTTCTATGTGTGTGTTCATTGAAACCCTTGAGAAAGGTCAAAGCAAAGCTTATTAATATACTTTGATTAAAAAGTTATATATTTTCTTTACATAAGTGATGAATCACTAAATTCTACTCCCGAAACCAATATTACACTTTATGTTAACTAACTAGAATTTAAATAAACACTTGAAGAAAAATGTTAAACATTTTTATATAACTATGCTGATAAGTGAATTTTAAAAATCCATCATAAGGCTAAATGTATGTTTTAGAAAATATTTTCTGCATTCTTGTTTCATATATCGGATCATTTAGAAATGAAGAAATAAATGCATTGAAATGTAGAGGACAAGAACAATTCTGACCCCATGATTAGAAACTAGATACCCTAATACAGTTTCCAAATCCTTCCTACTACAGTACAGCAAGTTTTCTTGGTTTATCGAAAAATACTCTGCAAAATTCTTTTTTGTTAATTAAAAGTTGAATGAAATTTACTTCAACCATATATTCATAAGCATGTGCCAGGCAAAAATTGTAAAATAATGAATCCATAGCTTCCTTTGTGGAAACGTGTGAGGATTACTGAATATCTTCTCATTTAGCACTGCCTTCAACTGAAGGGCAAAGCGTGTGAACTGTAAAGAAGATGAGCAAGTTGGCAGTATCAAAAAATTAATAAAAAATTACTTTAAAATATTTTATCTAATAAAGTAATAGAATGTTATTGCAAAAGAGTTATTTCATCATTTATTTTATATGAATGTTGTTCAAAAGGCCTTATTTGTACCTTAATGGATTATCTTAGCCAGAACATGCCAGGTGGACCACTTTTCTTGTGGAAATGGGCGCTGCATTCCCAGAGCATGGGTGTGTGACAGGGAAGATGACTGTGGTGACCAGACAGACGAAATGGCATCTTGTGGTAAGTTGTATGTGAAATATCCTGTTAGCAGAGACTGTGTCAAAGAGAAAATTGTGTCACTATTATCTCTCTTAAGAGGCTATTTATTTCCTTATAAATCCCAGTTAACAAGGCAAATGATCTGTTAGCATTTTATCACTGCGTTTTAGGTCCAAGTGTGTATTTTAATGATAACTTTGGATTATATCCATTCCATGAGTGAGTAACCATATTCTCAGTTAAAATAAATGGATCCAAACATTGAATATTATATTACAAAAGTTATCGTAAGCCTAATATGGCATTCTCAAATGTTCCTTATTATTAGCCTTATGTCCGTAATGATTCTTTTTTTCAAATAGAGTAGCTCATTGAGTAGCATTTGGACTAAATTATGAGTACATGTTTCTCGTTGGCATGCTTATGATATATCTTGGAGCAATAATCAATACAGGCTGAGATTACATAGTTGGTAAACCATTTGTTTCATTTGCATTAAGTCATAGAATTCTGTTATTAATTTGAGGTATTTTTGTTAATAGCAAAATTTCGAGTCACTTTCAACTCATCCTCCTACTTTTGGAAGCAATATTTATTGTTACATAAATTTCAAATTTAATTAGTCTCATTTGTACCCATGTATCAATAGATTTTATTATCACTTATCTCAATAATATATAGCAAAACATAGTAAGGGATTGAACCAGGTTTTTAAGAACTTGTGCTGTTAGGCATGGCTATAATTTTTGAAATTACTAATGGGGAAACATATATTAGATATACACAGCACATTAATTAAAACTATAATGCAATTGAGTATATATTTTTTAAATAATGTAACTAAATGTCACAATTTATTATGTGGGGAAATTGAAAACAAGACGACTTTGTTTTAACCCCTCAATTTAAAAAGCTCTATGTAGGGGTTCCATTCCATTATCTAAAATTGTATTTAAAAAATTTTCCAATACTAGACTATTAAGTCCCAGTAGATATTAAAATTTGTAACCTTTGAAAAAAGTATAGATAAATAAGTTGTATGGATCGACACTGTAAAGAAGACAATAGCAGTGTTGAAGAAGAAAGTAATGAGACAGTTACACAGTAACTGTCAGTTTTACATTTCACATGTAGAATTTCCAAAGCCTGGCCAGTTCAGGGATTCAAACAGCGTATCCTTTTCCTTTCCGTTTGTCAGACTATTCATGTGGCTGGGTCTGCATCTAGGCATTTCTATTATTTAGGAAAACTTGATTTCTTTCCTGTTCTCAGAATCTCCTTCCAGAATATGCCAGAAGGGTAATGAACAACCTGAAAACAGTAAAGATAAGAAAGTCCATAACATTACAGAATAGGAAAATAAATAATGAGTTTATTAGATAACTTCAATTAGGTCTTTGATCTGACTTGTACTTTCCATAAGATGAGGGAAAGAAGGGTTGGAGGAACTTCAGACACATATTTCTTAGTGAATATCTGCAATAAATCTATGAGAAGCATACTATTGTCCAGATATTACATATAGGGGAATCAAAAGTTAGAGACATTTAACAACTTCCTTGAGATCACAAGACTAATTAAGTAGAAGGACCAGGCTATAAATCCAGCTACACTTGAAACTAAAACTCAGACATTTCAGGTTGACTTTGTATGGGAGTCATGGATTGGGTGCAAATTGGGAGTAGAACATGCCATTATACATATCCATATCCAAGACTCTCTTATTTAAATGTGCATATACCTGTGAGTTCTGTTCATTGTTGGGTTGGTAAATTTTTTTTAATAATTTTTTTTAATTTTTATATTTATTTATTGTTGAGACAGAGAGAAACAGAGCATGAGTGTGGGAGGGGCAGAGAGAGAGGGAGACACAGAATCTGAACGAGGCTCCAAGCTGTCAGCACAGAGCCCGACATGGGGCTCGAACCCACAGACCGTGAGATCATGACCTGAGCCGAAGTCAGACGCTTAACTGACTGAGCCACTCAGGCACCCCTGGGTTGGTAAATTTTTTAAGATCTCCTGGTGCAGGAGAGCCATGATCTAATGTTTACCTAATTTTTGTAGTGTAAATACTCCTGTCATGGCCAGTATCAGGTTGCCCACGTGACTTTTTGCATTGGATTTCAGAAAAGATGTTCACTAATATATAGTATTTCCATAATACAGATGTAATAGACATAACTAACTTCAAGAGCAAAATAGAAGTCATATAGTTTAAGTAATGGATGTATGCTTAACAGTTAATTCTTAGAATCTTTGAAAATTTAAAAATTGGTTCTTGCAAGCTAGTACAAGATGCCTCCAGTATACCACTTGATATGAACAACTGTGAAATGTAGTTGTTAGTTTGCTTCTGAAATAGAGCAAAATTTTATGGAGTGTCAGTCAGCCACATGGGTTAGTCAGTCTCAGGACCATTCCCCCTTTATAAGAAACATGCCTCTCTCCAAACTTGTTCCTCTCTGTACTAACATACATTTATCTTTCAGATTGTCATTATAAATAAAAATTTATGTCAGTAAGAGAAGCTGATAGTAAAGCTCTGGTAGACACAGTATCACTTTTAAAGTTGTAGGAGAAGCGCACCTGCATGACTCAGTCAGTTAAACATCCAACTTTGTCTAAGGTCATGATCTCGTGGTTCATGGGTTCAAACCTTGTGTTGGGCTCTTTGCTGACAATTCAGAGCCTTGGAGCCTGCTTCTGATCCTCTGCCTCCCTCTCTCTGCTCCTTCCCTGCTTGCTCACACTCTCTCTGTCTGGCTGGCTCTCTCTCAAAATGTAAATAAACACTAAAAAATTTTAAGGAAATGTAAAGTTCTAAGAGAGAATAGCATGGATTACTCTCATAACAGAAATTATCCATGCATTGGGGCAACTGGGTGGCTCAGCTGGTTAAGCGTCAGCCTTCAGCATAGGTCATGATCTCATCCTTTGTGGATTCTGTGCTGACAGCTCAGAGCCTGGAGCCGGCTTTGTATTCTTTGTCTCCCTCTCTCTCTCTGCCCCTCCCCCATTCACACTCTATCTTTCTCTCTCTCAAATATAAATAAACATTAAAAAAGTTTTTAAATGATCTGTGCACTAAATGCAAAATGACAAAAATATTATAAATTGTTTAATTTACTGCATTAAAAAAATCACTCTCCTTGGCAGTAATCTAGAAGTGAATATAGGTTCAACTAATTCCCAGTTTTATTAAGCATAATTATAACATTTGGACTGATCATATTTTAATTTTCCCATTGGAATTGCCCAAGTTGCCATAGGTTTAATCCTACTGGAAGACTGCAATCACTCCGTTTTTTTGTTGTTGTTTGGTTGGGTTTTTTTATTTTTATTATTTTTTTTACACTTTTCATTCCACGGACAGCTTCTGTTTTGTTTCATAACTACTATTTTTCACTGAAATTAGTACCAAGATTTGGATTTTAAAACATGAGAATGAGAATTTCCAATATTTAGAAATGCTTCTGGCCAGGGGCACCTGGGTGGCTCAGTTAATTAAGCATCCAACTCTTGGTTTCAGCTGAGGTCATGATCTCACAGTTCAGGAGATTGAGTCCTTGCTGGCAGCATGGAGCCTGCCTGGGATTTTTTTTCTCTCCTTCTCTGTCTCTTCCCCTCCTCCCGCTTGTACTGGCTTGCTCTCTCTCTCTCACAAAATAAACAGACTTTAAAAAAAGGAATGCTTCTTATTATACTTTGGAGAAGAAAGTACTACAACTGAGGGTCAAAATTTAGTGGAATTCATTAGCACCTGTTTACAAATCTAATTCATTTTACTTGCATTTGTCTTTATAACAAGGTAACTGCATATTTTAGGTTGAGATTATATGTGGGCAAACACATAATTAGAAAGGCCCTTGAAGGTTCTCCCTTCATCTTTAGGGAGTCTTTTAACTTTTTCTGGTAGTCTTCATGTATGAAAAGGAGAGTCGTAAATTGATTCCGCAAATAAGAATAGATATGGGAAAATAATGAAGCCTGAGTTAGAAGTGGACTGTGTGTCAAGGAACTAAACGGTCACTCATTTCAAAGCTGTTAGAGTCGGTTCTCAACATTAGCTGTCAGTGAAAGAGTCGCCTGGGGAGAGTCAGCATCCCCTGACCACGCCTCACCCTGGACTAATTAAATAAAAGGGTCTCTGGGGGTCAGACCCAAGAATCAGTATTGTTAATGCTCTCCAAGTGGTATGAAAGGTGCCCTCAAGTCTGAGAACTGTCAACTTAAGGCCAAGGTTCTCAAACTTGAACATGCATCAGAATCCCCTAGAGGATTTGTTAAAAAAGCAAAAGCAAAAACAAAAACCAGAAAGTGGGGCCTGATTCTGAGTCTATGATCCAGTAGGTCTTAGGTGGTCCATGATTTGTATTTATATTTATACTTCTAACAGTTGATTCTGATCCTACGTGGTCAAAGGACCACACTTTGGGAGGCACCGTTCAGGTTTGATTATGTCTTATATGTACTTAATGACATGATTATGTTTATATATGCAAAACAAATTTAAGGAAGCAATTAACCAAATTTTCTTCCCATCTCCAAGTTACAGCTTTGAATATAAGGATATTTCATGATTAAATGTAAGAATATTTCAGAAAAACTTTTACTTTGCCCCTTGGAAAATTTATTGTCAAAAGCAGTACATCTGTTTATTTTAAACTGTAGTTTAACTATTTTGGGGGTGTTCTGCCTTCCAAGTATTTCAACACAGCTTATATTTGTTACTGTTTTATAAACACATTTTAATGTGAGTTGTTACCTTCTGATTTGTTCAAAGTGTTTAATTTCAAATAATATTAAACATTTTTTTAAATTTATTAACAGATTGAAAGACAGCGCAATGGAGTATAAATAAAACTCCACTAAAATTTGTAAAGTTAACTTCATTTTATGAGTGTTGATCTTTTAAATCTATGAAAATAGTAAAATTCTGCATCTCATGTACTTGTAATCTTACTTGTAAAGCTACTTGTAATTTTACTCCACATAATTAAGGAACAAAGAATCAGAAA